TTTCAGTAGTTTCAGATGCTTAGTGTACTTGATATACATGAACTTCACTTTAAAAACAAACTGAAACAAAGAAGCACAAAGCAACATCTTTTGCTTTTATAGGAACAACTTTCCAGCCCAACAGCAACTCTTCTGTAAATCCAGATCATCTGAACTACTTCCGTTTCGCTGGCCAGATCCTGGGACTAGCTCTTAATCACAGGCAGCTGGTGAACATCTACTTCACAAGGTCATTCTACAAGCATATTCTTGGTATGGTTTTATTAAAATCCTGTTTATTAGCTGTAAGAGTTTTCTGAGCAGTAAACAGTTTGGCAATCACTTAAGGGTTGGCCTCTGACATCAAGAGATTCCTCTGAGCAGAATAATGATGCTCACAGGCTAATCTCCATGTGATCACAAATGAGAGACACATTTCTCGACTGTTTTGTGATACCTTGAGTATAGCCTCAAGTGTTGCTCTTGTCGTCCTCTTTTGGAAATGGCTACCAATGAATGGGTTCTTTTCTAGTTTAAATCCTGAATTGCAGGAGGCCAAGGGCATCCTGGGGTGCATCAGGAGCTACTGGTGAGAGTTCAGCAGAAGGCAACAAAAATGACTGGGGGACTGGAGCATCTCTTGTGAGGAAAGTTTGAAAGAGCTGGGACTGTTCAGCCTGCAGAAGAGAAGACAGGAAGTCTTATCAATATATACAAATATCTAAAATGCAGGTTTCAAGAGGATGGGACCAGACAGTTTCAGTGGTGCCTAGTGACAGGAGAAGGGGCATTGGGCACAAACTGGAACACAGGACGTTCTGTCTGAACATGAGGAAAAAATTCTTTACTGTGAGGGTGACTCAGCACTGGAACAGGCTGCCCAGACTGGTTGTGAAGTCTCCTTCATTCGAGATATTTGAAACTTGCCTGGACACATTCCTGTGCAACCTGCTCTGGGTGAATCTGCTTTAGCAGGGGATTTAGACTAGATGACCTCCAGAGGTCTCTTCCAATCCCTACCATTCTGTGATTAGGGCTGCACTCTATTACGGGTGTAAAAGTGGGGCAGAAATACAGTAAGAAATTAATAATGTCTCTGAGGTTTGCTTTTCTCCGACTTTGTATCTGTCTGTCCTCTGCTTAAAAAGAGAAGATGGTTGCACTAGTGCTGCTCTACAGTTATTTTGTATTTCTTCTAAGGTGCCAATTTTTTCTGTTCAGAAAAGGAACTTTCACCTCCAACCCACAAAGACAGATAGCAGATGAATTCCTAGTTATGCTATATGCTGTTAGACTTCAGTTCTCTCTTTCACAGTCTAGTAGAAAAGATTCCTTAAAATGCCATAAACAAAAATGAGAATTAATTTCTGGGTCAGTGTATTTTGAGCTGGAGGCCTTAAATCCTTGAATACTTCCTGAACTTGTCTCAGAGCTTACGTGTGGTATCTTTTGGATGTTCTGTATTGTGCAGAAATACCTTTTTATCACAATTATGCTGAGATAGATTTGTCTTCTTTTTCAAACTACAAGTGACTTAAGGGTATAGCAAGAGGAAAATATGCAGTATTTAATGGGATTCAAACTTGGCCCTGATACATCTGATGGAGTTTCCTTAAAGCTGCTTGGCTTGAGTCTGTTGATTGGTAAAATACCTGTCAAGTCAATGAGTGAGCTCAGTGCTTTTGTCTCACAACACACAGGCCACAAGTGTACTTTTATCATAAGGCTCCAGTTCAGTTTCTTCTCTAGAGGAGTCTCCAGTTCCTCCATTTTAGTCTCCTTTTTCCTTATGTTTTGCTTATATCCCTCAGAGACATCATTATTTCCAAATTTCAAGTGGAGTGTACGTATGCTTACCAGTTGGCAAATGTGAAAGTCCTCTAGAAACTGCAAGGCAGCTGTTGGAGGTTGGTTTTTTGTTTTGAGAGACGTGACAGTGAAATATTCATTAGTAAATTATCTATCCCTCACTTCAACTGGATCGTTGCTTGATTTTTATTATAAAAAAGCAGTGCCTTGCAGCTTGTGGATACACCATTTCAGCACTAGTCAGCTCTTCCCAGGAAATACTGTAACAGCTTCTGCAATTAGATGTTTGCACCAGCTGCTAACCTTTGAATTTTGTGTTACTCTGTGGGGTGCTGCCTCTGCAGTCCACAACATGCTAAGACTTCTAATGGGCACCCTTGTGGCACTGCACAATGCACAGAAGATGGTAAAGCAAAGAGAATACTTCCCAATAACTTGCTTTTCTCTAAACCTGCTACCATGCTCACCCCCTCCCTGACATTTTTCACAGATACATGTCTGTAATGGTGGAGTTAAAATTTCTATCATGACAGAGCTAAAGTAATTGGAGTTTGCTTTCTTGTGTAGTAAAGAGGATAGTTCTGTTGTGCAAGCTCAGGGTCACCTTGTTCTGGGGCACATTTGCTCAAATTTGTTTAAGTGCCATGTCTGCAAAGGGGCTTTAAATACATCGTTTCTGTACTTGAATAAAAGAGAAACTTCTAGCAGCTCTCCTTAATGCTTCTAAATGACTTGTAGGTTCAGTTGGAAAATGTAAAATTCCTACAAATATTTTTATCAACTCTATAGGAGGTTTCGTAGCAAACATGATTAAAAAGAAGGAAACTTTGCATTAAGAAGAATGTGTCCAGCAGGTGGAGGGAAGTTCTCCTCTCCCTCTACTCCAGTGAGACCACACCTCGAGTGTTGTGTCCAGTTCTGGGCTCCCTAGTTCAGGATGGACAGGAATTTACTGGAGAGACTCCAATGAGGGCTACGAGGATGATGAACGGACTGGAACACCTGCTTTATAAGGAAAGGCTGAGAGACCTGGGGCTGTTTAGTCTGGAGAAGACTGAGAGGGGATCTTATTAATGTCTACAAATAGCTGAAAAGTGGGTGTCAAGAATGGGCCAGTCTCTTTTCAGTGGTGCCCTGTGATAGGATGAGGGGAAATGGCACCAAGTGACAACACAGGAAGTTCCACCTCAACATGAGGAGAAACTTCTTTACTGTGAGGGTAACGGAGGCCTGGGCTGCCCAGGGAGGTTGTGGAGTCTCCTTCTCTGGAGACTTTCATGACCCGTCTGGTTGTGTGACCTGCCCCAGATTCTATAGTGTTGCTGCTCTGGCAGGGGGGTTGGACTCTATGATCTCCAGAGGTCCTTTCCAACCCCTACTGTTCTGTGAATTTGAAACTGGAGTGAGAGTTTTCTAAGTACAGAAAGTTGGTCTTTTTTTTCTTTCCCCCCCTCCCAGTTCTAAATAGTTTTATAAGGAAAAGATATTATTGTATAGAGAAATATGATATTTGGGTTTCTAAAAGTTACGTAGAAAACAGAGGTTTTTTACAAAACTCATTTAACATTGTATGTTCTGTATGGTTAGATGTGTTTATTGAAGTCCTTTAGTGAGCTAAAATTGTGAAAATTGTTGTTGGTCCAGTGGTTTGACATTTGCTTCATTGGGAAGAAAGAGGAAACTTTATTCCTTAATACTTTTAATATGTAGTAAGTATAGTTCTGCTGTTAGTGAATATATTTCTCCCCCCTGTTACTGCATTATTCTGGTTTCTCTCTAGGGGGCAATCTTGTACCATATTTTAAGTTGGAACCTTTTTAGCTTTAACCATTTATTTGAGTTTTGTTTTTTGTTTTTTTTTAATAGGTATACCTGTAAATTATCAGGATGTAGCATCTATTGATCCAGAGTATGCAAAGAACTTGCAGTGGATTTTAGATAATGATATCAGTGATCTGGGTTTGGAGCTGACCTTCTCTGTTGAGACTGATGTCTTTGGTGCAATGGAAGAAGTGCCATTGAAGCCAGGGGGTGCAAGTATACTTGTTACACAGGAAAACAAGGTGAGTATACAGGTTAATTCAGAAGTTAGTAGTATAAGAAAAGCAATTGCACTGACTTTATGACTAACTGGAAGCAGAAATAGTATATCTGTTTTGAAGGAAAAACACAAAATAACAAAGTTGCCAACAGTCTTCCCCTTTTTTTTCCTAGCTTAGCATGTTATAGAAACAGTACTATTTAAAATCTCTGTCAGTGTTTAGATTTTAGGTTCTTATTTCTGACAGAACTTTTGGAAGGAAAATAGGTTTCTTTTAAAAGTTCCAAATATGCATAAGAGTAAGTCAGGGGTTATATATACTTGAAAGGTAAAACAGTAACGACTGCTAAAAGTAAAATTATAGGTAATGTTGTAAAGTGTGCTGTGGGTGAGGGTAGCCTGTGCCACTGGATTTTTATACAGTAATATATGGGTAATGAACACAGAAAAAGGCTGCAGAAAGCTTTTTCAGCCATTTGCAAGTCACTTGTGGTGTATGGAAATAATCTGCCTTTTAAATTGACTTTATTAGTAAAGGCTTGGAAAAGCCCTGAGCTTTTCTCTGCAGCATTAGTTCAAAAATGAATATGGAAAAATGCATCCAGATGCTGAACATCATCTAGAAATTAAAATAGACATCAGTTTAATTAAATTCTGCAGTTGCCCTCTAGATAGTTTTGAGCAACTGCAGCAGTGTCATGCATAGACCTGCAATTTTTTGTATCATTGACTCTTTGGATCTTTGTCTGCTTTGTGTTTTGATTTTCATTTGTGCTGAACTAGCCTGACTCACTTTGTCTACACTGGATTCATCAGCTCTCCCAGCTGCTGTATTGGTAAACGGCCACTTGGTGACAGCATTTGTCCTAGCAAAATTCTAGTTTGTGTTGGAGCAATTGGTACTGGATTCTAGGATGCTTAGTCCTCATTTTTATTAAGGCAGAGTGTAATTCTAAAACCAGGAATACATGTTGGCCTGATTCTGCACTGTTTCCTGCAATATCAAAGTCATCAAAGAATACAAAAGGTAAAACAAGTCAAAATGTGAAGGCAGTGGATGATTAATTCCTGTATTACCTATCAGACAAAGCAAGGTGGTTGATTCTTATTTCTGGACAGTCTTAGCTTCTCAATGTGTAATACATATATATAGTTGACATAACTTGTGGTTTCATAGCAACTATTTAGAAGCTGTTATCAGTTAGTGTGAAATGAGAGGTTTGTCCACAGGAAGATACCCTCAGTCAGTAGTAGCTTAAATTGCTCTGTTAATTCTGACTCAGTTGAACATGTGTAGGACAAATGCATCCATTCTGGCTCATCAGCCTTCCTCAGCTGTGGTGGGAGGGAACAAGGGTTTGTGTAGTTTTTATTTGAAAGGTCGTAAGGGACAGGACTGTTGTGGGAGCTTTCAGACTGTTAGTATGAATTGATCTTTCCATTTGAAGCTGCAGAACGTGTAGTCAACTGACATATGTAGGGTGGCTCTGTCTCCTGTTCACTGAATTTGACAAAGGCAAACCTACTTGTTGAAAATTGTGGATCTGTTTTAGTGGTTTTTGGGGATTTTTCCCAATTTCTTTCATGTGAGGTGGGTTTTCAGTTTGACTTGACTTAGCAGTTTAACAGGTTAAACATAGAAGTCTCTGCTTTTAAAAATATCTTTTTTTGTCCTATAAGACATCTAATTATTTTTTTCTGCCTTTACCTGATGAGTGAAAGATCAGTGTTTAAAACTAATTGCATTTTCTATACCTCTGGGAGAAGCAGATTCAGCTTCTAAAGGAATTTGCAGTGTATGCACACTAGCAGATTACCTTTTTAAAGGATAACATTTTAAAAAAAATGAAACTGAGTGGATCTTTATTCCTTAAAAAAAAAACCCAAGACCAACAAACCCACAAAAAAGCCCCCATGCCAAAAATAAAACTCCAGTGAAACCACCCAAACGATCTGTCTCCCTTTTACTGAAAAACAAAGCAAAAAAGAGTAAATGTCCCATTGAGGAGCAGTAGTAATAACTGTTTGTAAAAAGTTGTTTTCTTTGAATGAAGGAATTATCTTTTTTTTTCCCATCATCTGTGCAATAGATGAAAGGTTGTGGGAGCAGACAAGGCAGTAGCACTTACTGAAGGATCAGTTATGGTAGTGGTTCTGCTGCCTTTTGTCATGATAATAAGGAGATTTCAAAGGCAAAAGTCAATCTTTGCCCAGTGTCCATGCTGTACTTTTCTTTGTTCTTTGCTGTGCATATTTCTGCAGTTTTCTACTTACTTTTAAGGAAAAAAATAAAATTAGAGCTAGGCAAGACCATATGCTATTTAAAAAAAAAAATCATGCAGAACTCCACAATCTAATGGCTTTCTCTGTCCTCCCAGAGCTTGTCTGTGATCTGTCCATGCTGTTTTGGCAGTAAAAAATTACATATTTTCTTGAAACAGCTTTGGAATGGAGCTGCTCTCTGAATCTGAACATCATAATGAACATTGATCTTTATCTCACAGTATATGGGCTTGGGAAATGAGGCAAGCATGCTCTCTGCTTGACTTACCTCAAGGGAAAATACAGAACAACCCCTCACCTGAACTGAACTGTCATTTTAATTGTGATGCCCATCTCTCATGTGTGTTCAATCAGATCTTCCTTCTTAAAAGAAGGCTGGATTGTACCTTTAGTGCACTATGTGGGAATGCATAAGTACATCTGAAATTGTGTAGATATTTCTTTTTTGTGATGTGTTCCTAAGGCTTCTGAGCAGGAATAAAATGTAAATTAGGTGGACAGAGAAAAACCAAACTGGCCTTTTTTAATTGACATATTATGTAAATCCTGTGGTGCTGGTCTTTCAGCATGTGCCAGTGCTGATAGTCAGGATGCTTGGCTGTTTCAGGCTATTTACCAGGTTTCCTGTTACACCTAAAGCACAGCAACTGTTTTCTCTCATAATGAAAGTGTTCAATGTAAATATTTCTCTAATGCAGAAAATAATCATTTGTCATATTTTTTCCTAATGGATTGGTACCTTTTTCTTTCTACAACCTGTTTTTCTGAATAGCCTAATTTTTGTAACAGCAATCGAAGAGATGTAAAACAATTATTTCTGATCACAGAAGACTAATGTTAACAATACTTCCAATCCTGGTATTGTTTAAAGTTTCTGATTTATTCTTGAATGTCATAAAAAGTATTCACAGAGGCTGACTTCTGTCTAGGGCAGTTAATATTCTTTGACTGCCCCTCTAATTCCTTAGAGAAGGGAGGTGTATTCAGTTCCACTGTCAGGAGAAGCAACCTAGGGAGATAACTAGATTGAAAGCAGATTTTTGGGAACAGCTCTGCATCTGAAGATATATATGCTTAGGTAATGTTTCTCTTCTTTAGGGCATTTCACAGATTGTCTTCTCACTCTCATAAAATAGTGGTAGTGCATGTAAAAATACCTTCCAACTGCAAAGCAAATGACAAGCCCTCTATACTTATACTTCTGTGAATGTAAGGAACTGCCTTTGAAGCATTGTTCTGTTTTGACATGTTTCATTCTTCATTCTGTTTTCAGAAAGGGAACCTTAAAGTTAGGTAGTATTTTTTTGGTAGCTAGGTAGTATTTTTTTAAGATTATTGTATTGAAGGAAGATAATAGTTAAGATGGTTTAATTGGGAGGCATGTTTTGTGATTTCGTTATTAAAAATTATGATTAGAAAGTCGAACCATTAATTCGAAATTGCGTACCTTAATCTAAGAATAAATTTTGGTTTTAAGTAGAAATCTCTTTTTTTGAGTAAAGACACTTTATTACACTCGAGTAGCTTTGTCAGAGTAGATGAGACGTGTTTTTACAGCTTTAATGTAGGCACTTCTAATCTGTCTGGTTCTAAAAGCCTTCCTCCATTAGCAGCCTTCTAGGCTTTTGTATTTTCAACAAAAGCAAAGTTCTCGTGGATTCCTTGTGTAACTGGCATCTTTTAAAGTGGAAGGAAGAGCCCCCAAATCTCTGAAATATGCAAATTGAGGTATTGTCTGTTCACAGTTTGGGTCACAAATATTCCTGCATATGTTTAACTTATTTGCTGAGTTATGTTAGCTTGTTTAATAGAATATTTTTCTTTGCAAACATTGCCTTGTTTATGTTCTTAGATGATTGCAAAGGTGGTTATATAAAATGCAGTCAAGACAAATTTAACTCCCTTTATCATAGTCCAAGTCCCTATTTTTTGGGTGGTTAGTGTAACAATTTCAACACTTCTGGTTGGGAGTTACCTTTGGAAGGAAGGAAAGGGGAGAAACAGAAGGGACTTTGAACTGTGAGAGGTCTTGTGAATTATTTTTGGTTGCTTCCATCTGTGAAATGTGCACAGGGTGTCTTCACATGTTGCAGTAGATGAGATTAGGAATGTACTGCACTTGTGTGAGTTTGCATGAGCACCAGGTATTTTTACTGTTCTGTGTCTCAATGTTGTTTTCTACATTGCAGGCTGAGTATGTCCAGCTTGTCACAGAACTTAGAATGACAAGGGCCATTCAGCCTCAGATAAATGCCTTTTTACAAGGCTTCCATATGTTCATTCCACCATCTTTGATCCAGCTTTTTGATGAATATGAACTGGTAAGCAGAAATGCATCTACTTTTAAAAAATACGTTTTTATGTCTCAGGTTTTTTCTCTAGTCATGCCTAAACTCAGAGCTCTCTTCTTTTAGGTTCTTTGGTAATAATTTCTATCTTTTGATGCCATATACTTACATTACACAGATTGTGTGAAGTTCCAATAATTCAGGATTCTTCTTGTATTAAAATTTAGTCACAGGTTCTGTAAGGTCGCAACTAAACAGGAAAAAGCACTGCATTTTGATACATCTTAGAGCATTATTTTCTAAAATAGCATAAAAGCTTGAAACTAATGGTTAGTCATGACTAATCACAGTTTGTTTGCTTCTTCTGAAGGAGCTTTTGTTGTCTGGTATGCCAGAAATTGATGTGAATGATTGGTTAAAAAATACAGAGTACACCAGTGGCTATGAGAGAGGAGACCAAGTTATTCAGGTAAAATTATTTTTCCTTAATAATGTAGACTCTTGCATTTTAATTAAAAGAAAAGTGCTTTTCTTGTCATTTTCTGTGTGTTTATTTTGGCTGTAATTTGTGGAGGTTTTTCTATACTATATTCTTAGATTAAATGGCTTTGTTATATATGAACTTTATATGAAAATTTCCATGATGTATATAACAAACACACAAACATTTAATTTGTTTTCCCATTAACTTCTCAAGTACTTGCAAGGATTTAACACTAACTTATTTTTCATTTAGTGGTTCTGGGATGTTGTGGAAGAACTAACTCAGGAAGAGAGAGTATTACTGTTACAGTTTGTTACTGGCAGGTGAGAAACTCTACGTACTATGAAATAAGTTAAGAGACTTCAGATTCCCATGCAGGATCACTTAACTAGAAACTGCTTTGTATGCTTCAATGTTCTATATGTTGATCAAAGTAGACAAAGTGTATGTTAATACTTTTGCTGCCTCTATTGCCAGCAAAATGATTGATTACATATTTATAATACTTGACTACTTTGCAAGACGCCTTGGTTGCTGTCCCAGGCAATTTTGAACAAGGAATAGTGAATTGAACTGTGCTCTGTGATCTTCTTCCTGTTGCATATTTATGTAGCTCTTGACTTCTCCAGTAATCAATATAGGCTTTAATATGAGTTAACTAGGTATCACTTTGGTCATTGTAAACAGCACATCCTTCTCCTTGAATTTAACATTAGTGCATCATGTCAGAATCAAGTGAAGATTTAATCTTATGCAAGATGCTTTATACAGGATTTATCTCCAAAATTCTGGTTGTGCTTTGGGGAAAGCCACTTTTATTTACTGAATGGTTTGGGGGCAGTGGGGGAAAGTTTTGAGCACTAAATGCACCTGTGAGCTGGGTGAGTTGCTGAGGTTGGGTGTACAGGCATCTTATGAAGTGGTTCCATAGGCACAGGTATGTAATCCATGGCTTTTTCTGGTAACAAGAGTTTCCACCATCTTCTTAATTTGATGTTCCCTTCATATTCTAGGGTTAGTAGAGGAGTTGACCTTTTGTTTGGAAGCTTTATGGTTAAGCACAGGTAAAATACAAATGAAGAACATAAACCTTGTCTTTTATACCAAGCAATTTCCCAGTCGTGGATGTATCATCAAATGGCACAGTCTTCAAATGCTATTAGTTTCACTTGATTTATTATGAATTTCATTGTTTTTATGGATGACAGACAATTTAAGAAGCTAGTTCTATGCACATCCATCTTTCCTTTCTGTTGTCTGCAGAAATTATTCCTGCAGTTCTAAGTGCACATCTGTTGCACACCGACTGCTGGTCTCATTTTAAGTGGGCTAGTCTGTTTCTAAATCTAGATGGCAAATAAGGATCTTTCAGATGTAAGGTCATGTTTCTAATGCTTCTTAAAACATTCCAAATTATACTGAAGTATCATGTCACTGTTTTTATAGCATTTAGGATAATCTACTGTATTCTAAAGGATGCTTTCTACCAAGTAAACAATTATATTTGACTCGTATGTGCTTGAGACCCCTTCATCTTGGTGACACAATCACACATTGACTTGTGCTTACTCATTTCTTTTTCATAGAAAGGGAAATTCTGGGTGTGTCTTAAGAATTTTGAACTGGAATTTAAAACTAAGTTGCTTCTGTTGTTTTTGGTTTTGTTGGTTTTTTTTCTATATCACCTAGTAAGAACATGGGTTTTTTCTTCAGTGATTGAAATGTAATAGGTATATTTTTCCATAAAAGAGTTATTTTTGAAAGTTACCTCTCACAGTGTTATGCAGCTAGTATTTTTGCACATCAGTCCCCAGACAGTCCTAGTTTCTAGGCATAGAAGTTTAGACACTGAATTGTCTGTGAGATAAAACAGTCTAGTACAGGCCAGTATCTTAAGTAAAATTGAACACTAGAAGTATACCTGATCTTAAACTAGGATTTTTTTTCTGAAGTTACAGTTTTTTAGTGAAGAATTTGTGTGTACTGGCAGACAGACTGCATTGGAAATTTTCATTATTTCCATTTTCCTTTAATCTCTTCTGCATATTCATGTACTCAATTTTTATTTTTTTTTTTCATGTATGAAGTGATACTATTCTTTCTTTCCAATCAAAGAGTATGCCATTAATGAATTAATTAAAACAATTATATTTATGATTAGGTCTTCAGTGTTTCTCTGACATCTTTTAGTATTTCTTAAACTTTGCTTTTTTTTTTTTTTTTTTTTGCATGTATGAAGTGATTACTATTCTTTCTTTCCAATCAAAGAGTATGCCATTAATGAATTAATTAAAACAATTATATTTATGATTAGGTCTTCAGTGTTTCTCTGACATCTTTTAGTATTTCTTAAACTTTGCTTTTTGTCTTTTTTCCCCCCATTCTTACACCTCTTTTCAATGTAGTGAAGTCTTGCTTAGGTAGTTTCAGTGGAGATACCGTTGCATTCATCATTCATTAAAACACATTTTGAGACATTTTTAGCAGTAAAGTAATTATTGTGTGCAGTGTTTTTATAGCAGAGTCTGAGTATTTGGAGGTCTTGGCACACTCAAGAAAAATCCTAAATATCTCTGTGTTTCATTTGCTCCTTAGGGACATGGTTTAGCACCAGCCTCAATAGAATTAGGTTAATGGTTGGATTTGATGATCTTAAATGTCTTTTCCAAGCAAAATGATTTATGATTCTCTTGGGGATCTGCAAGTTTCTTTCTGCTGACAGCTGCTTGAGGTGGCACTGACAATTCCACATGCTTCTGTTTCCTCCCTCCCACCCCTCCACCATGAATGTTTGGCATTTATAATAGTATTTGGCTAAATTATTGTTAATTATCCATTGCCAACTTTTGATCAGGTTTTTAGTTAACAATTGGAGGGAAGTGTTGACAGTTTATCATTATAAATTCCTCTTTATTGGTATTCTGCAGGTATTAGGATTGCTGTTTGACTTCTCAGGGGACTGTAGTTTCTGTTGAGCAATAAGCTATGTGCTGTTTTAAGGGAAACGCAGCATAGTTGATAAATGTGTTACATACACAACTATTTTAAAAAGTAAACCAAAACATAAGGGAACTGGCTTAAAGTGTCTCTTCTACACTGTTTTTATTTCAAGTAAATTTATGCAAAATGTGTAGGTGGAGAAATGCGTAGAAAGGTTAGGATTCAGATGTAAATATAAACATTTTAATAGTGTTGAAGTTTCCAAAGCTGTGAAACTGTATTTTTGCTCTTGTTTAAGGCTATTTGCACATGCAGTAAGAGAGGTAAGATCTGCTGATCTCATTTGCCCATATTTGGAAGGCTTTCTTTACACATTGGCTGTTTTTGGCTTGGAAAGTAACTCATTCTTGGAGGCCTAAGTTGACAGCCATCTATTACTTTTAAATGTTCAAAGCCCTGGCCATACTGTATGTTTTAACCTCTGGTATGAAAAACATTTTAATAAATTAAATTGTAAAGATTTTTAGCTACTAGTGGGCTGAATGAGAAATTGTCAAAGGGTAGAGCTGTGTTTTTTTGCTGATTTAAATGTCAAGTTCTCTTGGCTCATGGGAGGGAAAAGAAGCCCCTGCAGGGGGCCACAGCACTGTCTTAGAAATGCAAACCAAAATCATGGCATAATAACAGTTCTGAACTGTGGCTGTGAGCACAACTTATGTCAGGAATACTATTCTGCAAGTAATCACAATTCCCTTCATAGTGGTTGCCTTACATGCCAGTACTAGAACCAGATGCCCAACGTTGCTGTCATTAAGCTTGGTGATGTAGAGATCTGTGTGCTGGATGCTATAGCTGGCTCTTAAAGGTGTATTTTAAAAGTATTACTGTGAGCTCTGTCCTACCTGCTTAACATTTGGCAGTGGCAACCCTTACACCTTTGCATTTCTGCCAAGTAATTTCTACTGTTAGTAGAAACATTACTTCCTTCTCCCTTTCCATTCTTGCTGCTGGTTTTTACAGTCACTCTGTTTTTGTGAATATGGGAGCATCGTTTTTAACATAAATACCTGTAATCTAAAATTCTAGCAGATGTTAGATACTTTATGGAAAGATTAGTTTGTGTTATCAGGTTGTTTCTTTGCTAGCTACAAAATTGCAGAATAGCTGAGGCTGGAAAGGACCTCCCGAGATTGTCTAGTTCAACTTCATGCTCAGAGCAAGGTCAGCTAGAGCTGGATGCTCAAGGTCTTGTCCAGTCAGGTTCTGACTTGTCTGCAGGGGTGCAGACCATTCAGATTCTCTGGGCAGCCTCTTCCAGGGTTTAACCACCTCACATAAAAAAATAAATAAATTCATATTTAAATGTAATTTTCTGGTCTTCAATTAGTGCCTATTGCCCAGTTTGTGTGCTGGATGCTCTCCTGAGACTTGTGCTCAGTCTTCTTTATTCCTTCAGGTAATTATATATAGATTGATGAGATTCCTCTGAGCCCTCTCTTCTCCAGGCTGAACAGTCCCAGCTTGCTGTCATCCTGTGTCAGGTGCTCCAATCCCTGACTAGCTTTGAAACCCTTTTCTCTACTTTCTGCATTATGTCCCTGTCCCTCCCGTAGTGGGGAGCTTGGAGCTGGACTCCAGTTGTTTCTCACCCAGTGCAGGGAAGGGATCACCTCCTTCTGGTGACGTTCTTCCTGATGCAACCCAAGAGGTTGCTGGCTGCTGTTGATGCAAGGATGCATTGCTGGCCCACATACAACTTCTTTGTCCTTACCTTTCCTTATAGATTGGTTTCTTGGGGTTTTGTTGTTGTTGTGTGTGTGTTGTTGTTGGTTTTTTTGTGGGGTTTTTTGTGTGTGAGGGCTGTGCTTAACATACTACCTTGTAATGCATACCAACTGAAGTTGATGTTATAAAAATACCTGAATTTTATTCTCTTTGTTAGTTTAAAAATATAGAGAGGGACTCTGAAGATTCCAGGGCTATTGTCCATTTACACCTCAAGTAGTCTTTGAATAAGATATTAGTAAAAGGAAAACCAGCCCCCTTGCCAGAGCAGGACCACCACAGAATCTAGGGCAGGTCACACAGAAACACATCCAGATGGGTCTTGAAAGTCTCCAAAGAAGGAGACTCCACAACCTCTCTGGGCAGCCTGTCCCAGGACTCTGTCATTCTCACAGTATGGAAGTTCTTCCTCATGTTGAGGTGGAACTTCCTGTGCTTGAGTTTGAATCCATTGCCCCTCATCCTATCACAGGGCATGACTGAAAAGAGATTGGCCCCTCCTTCTTGACACTCACCCTTCAGATATTTGAACACATGTATAAGGTCCCCTCTCAGTCTTCTCTCCTCCAGACTAAGCAGCCCCAGGTCTCTAAGGCTGGTGTTACAGTCCCTAAATCATTGTCATAGCCCTTGTTGGACTCTCAATTAAATCCCTGTCCCACTTGAACTGGGGAGCCCAGAACTGGCCATGATGCTACCCACACTAATGTGGGTGAGGAGAAACTTGCTAAAAGTATTAGTAACTGTCTAATTACTAGCAGTAAGAAATATTTGCAGTCTAGAGATTATATTTTTTGGCTTATAACATTCTTGCAATGGTTTAATTCCTGTGATTTCTCTCAGTTCCAGGGTGCCTCATGGTGGCTTTGCCCATATAATGGGTGGCAGTGGATTGCAAAATTTTACAATTGCTGCTGTGCCGTATACTGCAAATCTTTTACCAACATCAAGCACATGGTATGTTAACTAGTCTGATGGAAATATCTTAACTACAGGGCTCTTTCATGTCACTTGCAGTCTTTAATAGTAAAAAAACCAAAACAATCCAGCTTAGACTGTTTGTGGAGTGTTCACAAAATGCAGGTGGTAGGTTTTAACTCAGATGATGTTACATTATGTTCATTCATTATTTATTATTTCATTTTGCTTTACTAAAAGCAGTGGGATAAATAAGGGAATTTGAAAGTTAAATTATGGTATTACAATTTACCGAAGTGAAAAAACCCTGAATTTCCTGCAATGTATTAGAATGCTCAGTGATACTGTAACGCAGCACAGGTTTGTTTTCTTCTATAGATGTGACATCTTTAGGGTTTTCACTTGGAAAACTTGACTGTTAGGTTTCTTACTGAACTTTGATGTGGCTTTTTTTTCCCTTTTTCAGTATCAACATGCTCAAGTTACCTGAATACCCAAGTAAAGAGATCCTCAAGGACAGGCTTCTTGTGGCATTGCACTGTGGAAGCTATGGGTACACCATGGCATAACCAAGTCTAGAGAACTCATCTGACTACTGATGTGCAATTCAGAGTGGCAGGAATAATTTTGGAAACTGTCAGTATAAGAACAATGAGGTGCTGCAGCCCAGTGGAAGGGCTGAGCTTCAGAATTCATACAGGATCATCAGCTTTTTCCCCCATTATGTGTTGTGAAAGTAACACAAAGTCAGGACAAACTTCTCAGTATGCAGTATTTTCATTTTGAAAAAATGACAGATCTGTCTGGCACTCAGTTTACATACTTTTCATTATCATTCCAGACTGAATGAGAAAATTTGTCAGAGTCCCTTTCCACGGTTTACTTTTGATTTTCAAGGATGTGGTTGAATGACATTTGTGTTTCAGTTTATTTTGCACTCAGATGGCATCCTGCTCATGGACAGGCTTGTACTTTATGCCTTGTTGCATGTGACAGTGCTGTTTATTTTTGCAGAAACCAGTATAGACAGTTCAATTTGGATATTGTACAGTAAGACAGATCTGAGGTATTTTCCATTTCTTTGCATAGTAACAAATACAATTTTATAACTTTTTAGTATTTTAATGTACATAATATGTAAAGGTTAGACTGTTATCACTGGAAGAAATGACAGATGAAGTTAGTATCTAATTTATATTAGTATTTACACTATATTCTACTAAATATTTAAAGTATTTGTGACTTTATAGTCAACTTGCAGCTTAGAATTTGTAAATACTATTTAAGATCTATATCCATTTGTTTGAATGCCTTTACTTTTTCCTTGACATAATTGTATGTTCAAAAGGTATTATTAAATTTTAATATTTTTACCAGAAAATGAATGTGACATGTTTGTGTGTCTTTGTGGGTAGTTTATTCTTTTGTTGTTTTTTGTTTGTTTTTTTTTTTCACCAGGATTTTATTCATCTTACTGTAATTTAAACTGCCTTGGAACCAGCATTTAAGAAGGCATTGTCAAAGTGTATGGGTGGACATAAAGAAATGCACAAGGAAGGTGCTTGAGCTTAATTGGCAAGTCTACAATAACAAAAATCTTATGTCAAAATTGATGTAAAATTGGAGTGTACTACCCAAAGAATATGTAAAAATACAGAGCAATAGCTCATCAGCATGTGATTTGATGCTAAGTAGCTGCACATGTTGGGGTACATGGTGCATTTGCAGAACTGCTTTTTAGGTAGGTCTGCACCACAGTTTTGGTTCAGGCTACAAGTGGTGGTTGGTTGGTTGGGGTTTGTTTTGGTTTTCTCTAAATGAATCTGGTCATCTCTGCTTATCATGCTTTTGCTTCAGAGAGTGCAAACTGGACTCCAGGTGAAACTAAACAGAAAAGCATGTGCCAAGCACTAATGGATGAACACCTAATTATGTCTGCAAGACCTGCCTGGTCTGAAGAGGCCACCTGAAGAGTCAGTGAGTGAGTTCAGGCACAGTGAACCCACCGAACACGTGAATTTCAGTGAGACAGTGAACCCACCGAACACGTGAATTTCAGTGTTGAGGTCCTCAGCACAAACTGCTACTGATCCATTCATGTTTTTCTGTACCAAGTGCTAGTACACGTGTAGCCTCAGTTCATCAGCTGATCTGTCTAGGCTACTTCCTTGGAGCTGTCTTTTTGGTTTTTTTTTTTTTTTTCACATTTTATTTATCTGTTAATCTAAAGCAGCTATAATCTGTGGGAGTGCGAGAGAGAGAAATCTGTGGACCATCTGATTCAGTGGTGCCACAGTAATTTTCTTTTGCACTAAGCTTTATACATAGACTTGCTACCTGTATTTCCCTTTCAGTTCTATTTGTGCACTTGTGTGCATGGATTTTAGTTTAAATTCTGTGCAGTGTTGGTGACTGCCACCCAAGGAGAACACTGCTTTTAGTTAGTAGAAAGAGCAGATTGTTCCAGCAGGGTAACCTGGTGAAACCTGGTTAGAATATTGCTTCAGTTAGTGGAGAAATGCTGTTAGTCTCTGGCATGCTCTAGGAAGCTTACCCTCTTTGGATAAGTTAGATGTTTGAGGCTGTTGGGGATTTTAGCTTTAAATCCCAGTTATCTGGGATCATTCAATAAACAGAAGTACCTTGTTTCTGCATGGCTGGGCAGTGCTTGGTTCCCTGGCTGCAGAGCTTATTTCTTTGTGACTCTGCAAGGTGGCTGGAGAGCTGGGTGGTGTTTTCAGCAATACAAAGTATTTCTCAGGAATTCTGTGTTTCTGTTTTCTTTGTGCAAGCTGGGATTTTATCTTTATCCAAGGGTTTTACTGTAAATACTGTTGTTTGTTAACTACTAAGCAATCTGTGACTTTTCATTTCATGTGTTTTTCATGGCAACATCCAGCTGTTTGCAGCAAAATGGTGCCTTGTCTACTCCTGCATAATGTCCAAAACATGTCATACTGTAGGGCTGACTGAAGGGGAAAAAAGATTTGTATTATTCTCCTTTTTTTTTTTTCCCTGCACTTAGAATGTTGTATGATACTGTAGGTGACATAGGTATTAACAAGCCTAATTAGGTCTCAAAACGTGTTCTTAAAGTGCTCGGCAACTGGTTTTGAAATACAATGGAGTGCAGAGCTTTAATGTACTCAAATTTCTCTATCAGATCTCCCTGTTACAGCCTTGCAAATGCTTCAGAAAGAGATCACTCCTTCCTCCTCCCTACTAGGGGAAACTCCCTAGCCTCTGCTCTGCTCTCATGAGACCCCACCTGGAGTACTGTGTCCATTCTGGGGCTCTCAACACAAAAAAGGACATAGACCTTTTGGAGAGGGTCCAGAGGAGGCCACGAAGATGATCCTTGGCCTGGAGCAGCTCTGCTCTGGAGACAAGCTGAAAGAGTTGGGGTGTTCAGCCTGGAGAAGAGAAGGCTCCAGGGAGACCTTAGAGCACCTTCCAGTGCCTGAAAGGTCTCCAGGAAAGCTGGGGAGGGACTTGGGACAAGGGCAGGGAGTGAGAGGACAAGAGGGAATGGATGAAAACTGGAGGAGGGGAGATTGAGGTGAGACATGAGGAGGAAATTCTTTAGTTTTGAGAGTGGTGAGAACCTGGCCCAGGTTGCCCAGGGAAGCTGTGGCTGCCCCATCCCTGGAAGTGTTGAAGGGCAGGTTGGATGGGGCAACTTGATCTAGTGGGAGGTGACCCTGCTCATGGCAGGGGGGTTGGAACTAGATGATCTTTGAGATCCCTTCCAACCCAAACCATTCTATGATTCCAGGTATCTTGTAGCGTTTCTTGTAAGATTTGTACCAAATACTCCCTTGATAGATCAGAATGAAATATTAAGATCCTTCTGTAATAAAAAAAAGCATGATAAAAATACGTAGAAAATGGGAAGAGAGCTCTTAATCCTGGACTCCTGATATAATATCAACCTTGCTTATCTTGAACAAGGGTTTTTCTGCTGAAGTGCTAACCAGCACTGCCTGTTGCAGTTGGCCATGTGAAGTTAGCAGGATTTAATTACTGCATGGAAAGACTCCTTTTAGGCTGCCTGTGCCATATTAGCAACAGGGTATGAAAAGCCTGTTGAGAAACTATAACTTAATATAGCTTATAGTTTAGAATGATTAATTGGTTTATATTTTTTCTCTCCCACTGTGCCAGAACAAGGCAGGGAGTGTTTTATCTGGGAAAGAACAGAACAGATGTCTTGTCAGATCATAGATCATGAGTGCTCATTAACTTTTATTATCTTTATGAAATGTTAGATAGCAAAGCCTAGTTTTTGATGCTTGAAAATGTGTTGTGCATCTAATGTTGCAAAACCATTAAAACCATAAACTGTGAAATGTAGCTTAATGAGTTCTACTGTATAGTCAGTAAGATTGAAAATGGAATGAGAGGGAGAAAATGGACTTCTACCTATGCTTTGGAAGCTTGTGAACTCTCTGTTTAAGAGTATAAACTCAAAGTTGTAGCTTTAGTTTAACCAAACTGTTCTTGAAGTCTACTGAGCTGATTCTAGTAAGCCAGTTTCTCAGTTGAGAATTTTTTCATATTCTGGGATTAAAAAAGCCCATCATCATCAGAAGTCTTGCTATGAGGAGCAGTCAGCATTTTAAAGACCTTGTAAACAGCTGCTTATTATAAAATGTTCCTTTAAATATTTCAAACAATTGTTAAAATACTAAGAGAAAAATACTTTAGTGCATCCCACTTTCTAATGCAGTTTTCATATTATTTCAGAGGGTCCAGTGAATTCACAAAGGAAGCATCTTTTTTTTAGGCACCTTTATGAAGAAATGGGTGAATTAAGAAATTCCTTACCTTAATACCTTGTTCCCGTTATAACTGCAGTGTCCAAAGAGGACACAATCTTCACCTTGAAGAGTTTGTAATCTGTGAAGGTAGGGTTGTTCTGCTGTGATTATTTTCCCAAGTTCCTGTTTTGCTTTTGTACCTTAGCTTTTGGGGACTGGGTCTCATCTGGGGAGAAAAGGCAAAAGAGACATAGTGCTTCTTGGCCTAGTGAGGAGGAAGCAGAGGAGAAAGATGAGATCAAATACAGCAGTGCTGATTGTTCTAGAAGGAAGGCTTCTTCCAAACATCTGATGTCTGGCTGGCAAACCAGAGTGGAAAGCAGGACTTCTTCAAGGTTTGCTTTCTTTCTTTTACTCATCTTACATACTTTGCTTTTCATGCATGTTAAATAGAAGTTGTTGGCTCAGCCTCAAGTCTATTGATTAATCAAGAGAGATGTGGAGAGGAAAGAAACAGGGCAGCTTCTGAAGACAACTGAGGTGGTGTCAGCATCAAAGGCACAGGAACAGCTCTTTGCCCAGGAACCTTGACACTGAAGTCAATCCCTGCTTCTGATGCAAGGTTGTTTTCTGGGAGCTGCTCTTCCTGCAGAAAGTCTTCGTGGAGTAGGTGCTTGAGGAAGCCAAATAACTGCAATATTACATGGAAAATATTGCTTTATTGACTGCCATTCTGGTATCTTCTGTTCCAGGTAGCAAGTAATCAGTTCCCTTTGCAGAAATCAGAAAACAAAGATGCTAATATCTCTGTGGGATTTTTTTCTTGCATGTTACAAAGAATGCTTGGAAAAAAACCCAGCTGATTAATGAACAGACTGATAAATATGAACTATGCTAAGAGGAAAAATATGACCCTTAGTTCTTACTAGGCAGTCATAGTGGTCTGTGTTTAACACCTTTTAT